GCTTGAGCCCAGGAGTTGGAGGTTGCTGTGAGCTGTGATGCCACAGCACTCTACCCAGGGGGACAGCTTGAGGCTCTGTCTCAAAAAAAAAAGATGGCGAAAGTGAGAAGCTACAAGTCCAAATGATTTCTAAAGAATCTTTAACTAATGATTGACAAAATTAGTTAACCTAATATCCAGTGTCTACATTAATGTCCAATCTCTACATTCTACATGGTGAGAGATGAATAATTGGTAATTTCTAAAAACTCAGACCTTTGAAATTAGGTCTTAGGTGATTGCTAAGCAAATTGTCTAAACCCTTATCTAGTTTATGAATTCCTCGAGGATATGAGTTATGTCTATACTTTCTATCTCCCATATACTAAACATATTATCTTACACTTAGTTGTGCTCAAACAAATATTTGATTGTTCACTTAATAAAGTAATTATAGAATTAATCTATAATTAGATAATTTATTATAGAGCTAATAATAGGATTAGATAACAATAAACTATTCTGGTACCAATAGTTAGGCCACTTACACTTTATTTCTTCTTTTTACAGAAATAATATGAATGTTTAAATGTATATATTTTAGAGTACCAGTTCTGCTATATAATAGCTATGTGACCAAGGGCAAATAGATTTTTTAAATTTTTTAAAATATCTCTTACTTCATCATATAAATTAGAGTAATAACATCTACCTCATAGTGATTGCTTTAAATCTTAAATATGGCTGTATGTATAAGCACTTAAAGTACCTGCATATAGCAAATATCCAGTAAACATTGGTCATGGGGATCACATGAAAAATGAGCATGAACATATCTAAAACTTGCAGTGTTTTAGAATGTAAGCCACGACATAGGCCAGATGAGAAAACCTACTTAGCCAGAAATATTTTTTAATCTCACTCTTTATCTCTGGAGAAACGAATGGGAAATATGTCCCCTTCTGCTGGCAGGCTATGCTGTAGAAATGGTTAAATGCTTTGAGAGTGCTGCAGCGTGAGAAAAAAGTTACCAAGGAATATCCGTGATGAAATAGCTTATTAATGATCAATGAATATCTGTTAATGAAGATATATATTTTTTCTAAATGAAAGCCTAAGCTTAGCTTGGAGAGGAAAGAATTTTTTTTAAAGATTTTATCTGCAAAAATGTCATGAAACTACAGGACACTCTTATATCTATTTACACAAATCTGTTTTCCCTCTGAAACTATGTCTTCTATAAATATTTACATGACCTACCCTAGCACTGAGAAGAAAAATAGACAATACTCAAACTGTGGTCATCAAAGAGAAAATAGTGGCCGTAAGCCATTGTAAAAATGTCTTCAAATGCAAATGACTAGTCCAGAAAGATTAAGTTTGCATATGTGGAAGCTAAGAAGTCTGATCTCATAAAAGTAGACAGTAGAACGGTGGTTACCAGAGGCAGGGAGGGTGCAGGAGGAGGGATAGCCAAAAGTTGATTGACAGACACAAAAATTCAATGAGAAAGGAGGAATCAGTTCTTGTATCCTATGCACTATAGGGGGACTTTAATTAACAGCAAATTATTACATATTTTCAGATAGCTGGAAGAGAGGATTTCGAGTGTTCCATCACAAAGACATGATAAGTGTTTGAGGTAATGGATGTGCTATGACCTTCATTTGATTAATACATGAATACATTGAATATGTGTATTGAAATAGCATACTACATACCATAAATATGCACAATCATTACGTGTCAATTAAAAATAACAACATAAAATAAAACAGAATTTAAAAGTAAGCCAGTCAAACACAAAAAAAGAAAGACCGAGTTTAGGGTTGCAGATTTATCAATACATGAGTCAGAAACTTAGCATCACAGTCATGATGACTGTGTGTTTAACATTACATACAAATTTTATGTAACACGTTTCACTATTTCAAACCAGTTCAATCTCATCTGAAATAACTCCATTCTCATACATACAGAATAAAATATTTAGATCTTTGTCATTTAATGGGTATCTAATGGCTAGCCCGAGGCTAACAGGAAGACTTTCAAGGGAACTAAAATGCTCCTAAGCTCTTTTCCAACCTCAAAAACTATACTGTGATTATTTATGTTACCTTCCATTTTTTTCTTTGTATTGATGCAGATGGACCTTATGGACTTCAAGTGAATTCTGATAAAGGACTAAAAGTAGGGGAAGTGTTTACTGTTGACCTTGGAGAAGCCATCCTATTTGATTGTTCTGCTGATTCTTATCCCCCCAACACCTATTCCTGGATCCAGAGGACTGACAATACAACGTATGTCATTAAGCATGGGCCTCATTTGGAAGTTGCTTCTGAGAAAGTGGCCCAGAAGACAACGGACTATGTGTGCTGTGCTTACAACAACATAACTGGAAGGAGGGATGAAACTCGCTTCACAGTTATAATCACTTCTGTAGGTAAGTGTGACCTGTAAGGAAGAGGTCCCAATTTAAAACACAAATGCATGCTGGCCTCATTTTGACCTATGTTATAACTATGTGGAAGAGAAAATTATTGTGGAATTATTCATATAAACTCTTTTTCCTAAGTCTTAGGTTCTATGACTCAAAGAGAGAAAATCCATAATTAAAACCCAAAATGAAATTATGGCTATGAGGGGCTATGAAAAAAGGAATTCAATAAATTACTTCTAAATGCTCATTCTTGATTTCCTGATTCTACAAATAGGAATATATAATAAAAGAGAAGCAGGCTGATAATTTAGGGGCTTTATAGATTTGTATCTTCTGTTGCATTGTGTCAGATGAATAAAAAACTCCATGAGTTGGAAACTGGGTTTTCAGACTCCCATTTGACCCCCGTTGTCCCTGTCCTTCATGATCTCCTCTTCCTCTTTCATTGTTTAAATGTCTCAAATCTGTGGAAGTTCTCAGCACAAGTCTCAGCACCTTGGAAATCATGAAATTGTTTTAAGTCTGTGAAATGTGGCATTCTTCAGAAATCATCTGATTCACAGAACGGATATCAATTCACAAAAAGAATCACTGCCTAAAATACTGATGGCCACAAACGTCCCATCTTTCCAAGCCTTCTGTTCTCTCTCTACACTATGATTTCATTCTCCTACACAATTTCCTGTATAATGTCATTCATTCCCATGGCTTCATGTAACACTGGCACATGCCAAATCTATACTTTTAAAGCTCTAGAACTGTACATCCAGCTGCCTCTGGATGTCTCCACTTGGAAGCACCAGAGGCAGCATACAGGTCTAATACATCACAACTGAACTAGCTTCTTTCCACCCAGCCCCACCAAATTGCTATTTTGTCTATATTCTCTGTTAGAGTGAATGGCCCTACTAACTACCAACCTCAGGCAAAAAGCTACATTTCACCCTAGACTCTTTCCCCTTATTTCTTACCCTGACCTACATTCAGTCACCAAGTGCTGTCCATTCTCCTGCCTTTCTCAAATCCATCCTTTCTCTCCTTCTTTCTTCTTCTATTTCCTTTTTTTATTTCTGTACTTCTTTTCTCCTCCTTTTTCGTCTTCACTTATCCTCTATACCCCCTCCTCCTGCTCATTTTCCCTTTTCTTCTTCCTATGCTACCACTACTATCAAGTTTTTCCCCAATTCTCCTTTGCATACAGAAAAAGACAGCCAGATTCCACTTGGGGAAAACCTTCAGACAGGAAATGATGGTTAAGGCGCCTATAATTAGTGGAGGGCTAAGTTCACAAGTCACCACCCACTAATACCTTTTCCATTGATACCTTCTCTGTCTTCACCTGTATAGCCCTAGTGCCAAGAGTAGGACCCATAACCAAAGCTCAATACATTTTGTTGAATAAATGAAGCAAAGAATGATACAAATGAATTCTCATAATCCTTAGGCTAATATTTTTTAATATGTGGCCCTTGGACTACCTGCATCAAAATCACCTGGAAAAGTTGCTAAGAATGTAGTTTCATTATGACACTTCAGACCTGTTGGGTTAGGATCTTGCAGGGAGCACCTGGGAGTCTGAATATTTAGCACGCCCATGTGTGACACCCATTTGTTCAAGATGTTTTTCCTCCATGGGATTTGAATTTATTAAAAAGCTCTTAAAGCTCCATCAAGAATTATAAGACTATCGGCTCAGTGCCTGTGGCTCAAGCGGCTAAGGCGCCAGCCACATACACCTAAGGTTGCAGGTTCGAATCCAGCCCGGCCCGCTAAACAACAATGATGGCTGCAACCAAAAAATGGCCAGGCGTTGTGGCGGGCGCCTGTGGTCCCAGCTATTTGGGAGGCGGAGGCAGGAGATTCACTTGAGCCCAGGAGTTGGAGGTTGCTGTGAGCAGTGAAGCCATAGCACTCTACCCAGGGGGAACAGCTTGAGGCTCTGTCTCAAAAAAAAAAGAAGAATTATAAGACTATCACAAACCTGCAGTTGTGATGAAGAAATGTATAACGAATAGGGTCCTCCTGGAATGCCTAAGGTCATGAGTACATATATTTATAAAATCATCTGAGTATATTAGAATTTATGTATTTTCATGGCTGGCTTTTGTTTTTAATGTGAAGAAAATTTTATGCTCTGTATGAGAGTGCTATCTAGTAGGATTTTCTGCAATGAAAGACATGCTCAATATCTACACTGTTAAATATGTTAACCACTAGACTCTTTTGCCTTTGGGGCACTTAAAATATGGCTATGCAACTGAGAAACTAAATTTTTGATCCTATTTCATCTGTTTTAATTTTAATGTAAATAGCCACATGTGTCTAACAGCTACCATGTCAGACAGTGCAGCTCCATAATCTTTACTTGATCATATTTCATTTGCATAGTGGATGATAAATTTCCCAGGAGGGGAAGGGGGAGGATGGGTAGAAGGAGGGTGATTGGTGGGACCACACCTATGGTCCATCTTACAAGGGTACATGTGAATCTTTCTAAATGTAGAATATAAATGTCTTAACACAATAACTAAGAAAATGCCATGAAGGCTATGTTAACCAGTTTGATGAAAATATTTCAAATTGTATATAAAACCAGCACACTGTACCCCATGACCATGTTAATGTACATAGCTATGATTTAATAAAAAAAAAAAAAAAGAAAGAAAAGAAAAGAAAAAAGTCACCTAAAAAATAATAATAATAATATATTTCCCTTATAGGCCCTCAAAGCATGTGTGTACTTAAGAAGATAAAAATTTGACTCTTATTCATTTATTCATTACTTAGCACCTATTGTGGGCCACATATTGGCATATATGAGAAAAATAATTCCTAGTATTAAGATTCATGTTCACAATCCTATATGGGTGGCAAAAACAAGTAAACAGCTATAGTGCATCCTTTGTTTTCTATTTTACTAAGTTTTTAATAGTCACAACCAGCTTTTCACCTCAGTAGCTAACCAAGAGATAATTGTAAAGCAAGCTAAGTGTATAAAATATTTTTTGTATCACTCCATATGTCACCTTAGACTTGTTCCTCATGCTCGTTTCAAGTGAAAACATGGCTATAATACGTAGACATGTAGTACAGTTAAGGCTTTTCCACTGCCTAAACTTTCTTCATTAATATTTAACCAAGATATTTTTATAATATTAGGAGTGAAGACCCCAATATTTGATTAAGATCTTATTACTAAGGTCTAAAGACAGCTACAGTCTTAACGTCAGATAACTGCCTTTTGCAAAATCTAAAAAACCTGTTTGACCTGTACAAAGACTGAGCATTTGTTATTATAGTAAATAAGAAGAGCAGGTGCTTATTTTTCAGAGGGATTCAGAGTTGTCAACATTACTGACCTCTCTGTGGTTTTCAGAGCTATTTTCCAACTCCTAAATGTTCACAGAACTTTAACTCAAACAGTGACAGAATGATGAAGAAAATGAATAGGATCGATGTGTTTTGTTAACTATTTGATCTTTCCTAAGTTTCCAAGTGAATAGCTTTGTGAAGTGCAGATTAAGTGTACCTGAACTTACAGTCATAAATGACCATCCCTATGACTATCAGTTGAACACTACTGATCATCCACTCTGGTGAACAAAGTATATTAAGATCTGCGGAGAATTCGAAATCATTTAGGAGGATGAGGTACCTGATTTTGTGATAGTCCCAGAATCAAGTTGGTATTTGGTGTAGCCAGAGTCAAGTTGTATGAAATAGATGACCTTCTTTGTTTTTAATGAGACCAAAAAAAAAAAAAAAATGTGGCCCATCAAAAAGTTTCAGCAATAAGATGTGAAAGGCAAAGGAAAAAGCAGTCAAAGATGACTGTAAGGTCACAGATGTGGAAAGAAAAGAAATAAGGTCAGGAAATAATCAAAAGTTTTATTGGATATTTTCAGTAGGGAGAGGAAGGCTGGAGAAAAATAACAATTAGCCCTGTGTTTTTCTGCCTGTAAGACTAGACTGAATGATGACTTCCTCCTCTGTGGGCAATGATTCACACCTAATTTGATATATTGATTGACCTTTCAGTATCTCAGGGGAGATATCCTAAAGAAAACAGAGATAGCACACAAAGTCAAATAGCTAGTAAGTAAATAAAATAATATCTGAATTCAAAGCTCTTGTTTTAAACCACTATACAAACCGTCTCCTTTGATGTAACTAAGAATATTGATGAGACTATGGTCTTTCTAAAACGTCTATAGACTTACATGTCGTGAAGACAGCCTGTTTTTTTCAGCACCTATCTAGTTTAATGCTCTCTATATAGAGATACTCTGATTTTTCCATACTATGTGTATCATTTCACATTGAAGAGAAATTGTGTAATATCTATAATCAAAAATATTGCCTATAGTATGTTTCAAGGACAGGATAGCTATTAAAATAGTAAATTAGCATTTGTATTTTGAAAAACAATTGATTTTATTACCTTGAATGTCCCTACCTTCAAGTTTTACCTGAGCCTAAACTGCTATTATGACATGTGACATATAGAGAGAGAGGGAGGTGCCAAAAAATGTATGCATATTTTAAGAAAGGAAAAAATTATATTAAGATTATAATAAGTCACATTTGACTTCTGCAGTTACAAGAGACACAGGACATAATATACAAGATAACAAAGGTTATTGGTATATACATGACAATTTTAGTACAGTTTATGCTTCATAATAAAACTGCATTTTTCTTTTATTTGTAGTCATAAAAACTGTATTAAAATTGTAATAGTCAATATATGTTGATAACAAAAGGTGAATACAAGTCACATTTGAGCACCTTCTGTAATTGCAGAAGTCAATGTGACTATATGTGAAAGCACATAAATATATACATATAATGAAAAAGTTGATAGAAATTTAGTCATCTGATAAGAATTCAAATGTTCACATTTAATGAAAGCAATCAAATTTACAGAGTTCCCAAGGGCCACATGGACATAGTTTGAGGTTTAGCCATAATAGAAATGTTTTGAATTCATATGTGATCTTGAG